TATAATATCAAATTCATATATAGTGATAAATTATTACTTAGTCCGTTAATAATAATTTACTAACGGCTCTTAATAACAGTGCATCAGTGATATCAGAACCGATAATCATTATTGTTAGGCTCGCTAGAATTAAGATATATGCTTCTGGATTCCGTTATTTTGGATTAAAATATGTGTCTCTCTTATGCAGAGTTTTCCTGTACCGTTATCAATTATTAACTGCATAAATTGAACCAATCGCCTATCATTCTCAACAAAATATCTTTCGTAATTAATTGGCACATGCTTTCTTAAAGTACGGTAAAAAGTAGGAGATCATCAATGGGGTAATTGGATGATATTTTTCATGTACGTATACACACCGATGATGTCTTCTCCATTATATATAGTAGATAGAAGTATTTTAGCAGGAAAAAGGGTCAAACCTAGTACAGGTAATTCGAATGATGTGTTTTAAAAACACTGTGGTGAGAAGATAAAATTGAGAGAAGAGAACTTGGATATTGAAACCTGTTATTGATATATACGCCATATCCTAAGTTGAATAAGATACTTGGATAGAATCTTTATCTCAACCGCCAGGAAGTTGAATGATACTATAATTAGGAGATCTATACAAATCCTAGAGGTAACCCTTATAAATAAGATGTTAAAGACTTCAGGTACACATCGTTTTTCAACTTATCTATTATTACTGTCAATACTGTACACATACCTACGTCTTGGCTCCAAACTTATTGCTTGTGCGCAGTGATTAGGAGACTGGGTATAAGCCAACTATGGTACCTACCTCAAAGATATCTCTGAGCGCATACCATTCGGTATAGCAATACAATCTTATAGGACCTAACAGAACCACATATATATATCTTTTGGTAATGTAGGTTGGGAAAAGCTAACATCATGTTACTGTAAAATTTTGTTTCCTCCTACTCTCAGATCGTTTTCCGTGCTAGCTTTTTTGTTTATTTTTTTTTCTAATATTTGATGGGCCCTACAAAAACATATCTCTATGACATGATGTATTCATTTTGCTGTTACATAACATTCACAAAACCCATGTAGGTTACGTTAATAACTTTATTAATGAAATAAAGTTGTACATTTTTTAGATTATAATTTTGGCTAGTGATAAGTGCTTGATCTAATACTTAAAAACATGCAATCCACCTATATTTTTTCTACACTTATCTTTAAATTAATTGTGTAATTTAAGTGAAAGCAGTGTTTTAAATTTTAGTATAATAATTAAAAATATATATTTTAATTAAACCATAGATGTGTAGTTATATTTAGATTAGAGTCATAAAATGTTTTTAAAAGTTGGCATGTAATTTTAATATTAAATATAAGGTTAATTTATCAATATTCGTGTCTCAACTTTTATGATAAGACAATATTTTCATTCAATATCTCTTTTTTTTTAACACATTCAGTATCTCTAGTAGAAATTTAAAAATAAATCTTACTACTTTAGTGATAAAATATGATAAAAATAAAATTTAATTAATAGGTAGTAAAAATTAGAAATCCTTTTTAAATTATGAAAAATTGGGACGACTTATCTTTACGTCAAGCTTGCATGAAAGTTTACTCTCTCCCGTCAAGAGTTAATTAATAATAAAAAAAAATCCAACCCCGGTCTGTCCATGAAAATCTTATTTATTCTTCGTTTCATTCAAAAAATAAAAAACAATAAAAGAGAGAAGAAAGAAAGAACACAAGTTTCCGCGTGCATTTCAAGCAAGAGGGAGCGAGAAATTATAATATGAAAAAGAAGAAGAACATATGTGCTCAAATAAATTCTGTGATGATTGGATAATGTAGAACATGTGGGGTCGTTGACCATCACAAATTGCAATAATTAAGTCATAGTATGCAGTTATGCACAGTACTTTATAAATGCCGTAAAAATAAATCTGTGGGTTACTTAGATGGTTTTATGGGGACGCGCGCAGATCTCATATATATTGGCTTTTCATTGCTGGTTGTGCAAAATGACTTTTCTTACACTCAAAGTGTCCCTGATTAGTGATCATTATGGTAAACAATTTATTAGAGATTCCCTTCTGTTAGGAATTGGATGGTTCAACTCAACCAACACCTAATTTAATTACTTAGAAATTAAACAATTTAATTTTATGATCGCGTTATTCATGAGTTTCAATCTAGCGTACGTGAAACGCTTTCTTGATCAGGTATGTCTTACATAAATCAAGTGGGGTTTTAGGAAGTGCGCACCTCAGCACTGATAGTTACCAACCCGAAAGCTGCTCCATAGTGTCATAGTCAAGTTAGTAATGAATTTGCGGATAGCTGTCAACCATGTTTTTTCATTTCGTTTTTGGAGATATATCTATAAATGCGTGTGAAAAGAGAGAGTGAAATTATTTAACATGATATGATTATCTATAGTAATTAATTATCTTGAACTAATTTAACTAAAATTATATGCCACTTTTTAGAAGGCAAAGTAGTAATCAAATCTGAAAAAAGAAGAAGAAAGAAAGCATTTGAGTAGGATGTCATTTTTTTTAAAAAAATATTCCAATTAGTTCATTATTTCGCAACTAATCCAATTCGGAACGAGTTCAGGATTAAGGCTTTAAGAGGTTGTCATCTTTTGAGTAAATACTTTGCAGGTTTACAAAAACTCCTCATCGATATTTCATTGGCTTTATTATTGATTTGGACAAGTTCCACGTTGATGTTGTACTTCGAAAGTTACTCCTACCTCGTAAGTTATGGCCTTTCCTTTTATTGTTGTTTGTCATGATATGAAGGCTCACAAGATATTTGGTATGTTGTATTCGTGCATGAAAATAAACATAAGGCAGGCCAATTTTTCTTTAGATACTTTAACCCTTTAGCATTGACAATTTGTTTTATAGCCCTTAAAGCGACTAAATAATAGAGAATAGTAAATACCAAGTTGTTGGCCTCGAGCAATAATTTTTCTTTTTTTCTCTCATTAAAAAAATAAAACTGCGTTGGCCCTTGAGATGTGACTCGTTGCCATTGGTTTCTTTTTACTTCGCCAAAGTTATTTATAATTTGGAAAGTTCAATGTCTCAGCCAAAGATATCGGAATCAGAGCAATGATTGACTTCTTGTATGATATGGGTTATACATATACATGAAAATTATTATTTATCTTAAGAAAGAATATCGTCATCAGTAGATTTCAAAAATTTTAAAACAATAGAGATTGGGCAACGGGCATCTTGATATCGAATATATATAATGTCATTTTTTATAGGTAAAATTTTTTAGAAAGTGAATTATCATCTGTGATCGAGAGGCCACTAGGCAGTCTTCTAAATTCGGAGTATTTTAAGAAAGTGATATTTTTATAAAAAAATATAGGTGCAATGCAATCATTTTATGTTGATGATTATTTATACATAAAATCCTCATGATCCACCTCAAGAATAAAGACGTTGGTATATCAAATTCAACCTTATTGCCACGCACATGAAAAAAAAAATGACGAGGAAACTAATTAAGTTTTTTTTTTTTGTAATCGGATATTAATTATTTTCGTGTGTGAAGCGAATAGGCGTGATAAATGACGACAATGCATGCGACCAAATTTTCTTTGACGTGATATTCACGCCATATATTTATTTTTTTAAATAGAAAAACCAAGTTTTAACATTTTCGCCCCCTAAACGGTTGCTATCACATACAAAGACTTCTAATAAGGATAGTTCTGTATATACTGCTTAAAAACAAAGCATACAAAACTAATTCAAGTCGTACGCAGTCCACCAATTAGATCACAGGATTATTTCACAGACTTCTATTATTATTATTATTATTATTATTATTATTATTATTTTATTGGTTTTTGCATAAAAAGAAATTTCTTAAAAGTGTTTTTGCAACAGACAATTACCAAATAATTAGGATCAATGCCACTTTGGCAACAGGAACCGTTTCCAATAAAACGGCTAATTTGAAAAATGCCAAGTGCAGGAGATAAAGTAACTTAAGAAAAAGTAATTATTATTCAAATTACCCGAAACTATTAGTATTAAGTCTTTGCTTAAGGACAAGGACAGATATAATTCGTTAATCTTAATCATTGGACTGGGCTCACACAAGCCCTTTTCTGTTTATAACACGAAGCCCAAGAAATCCATGCAGCCCACTATGACAGGCCCATAAAAGTAGATGATGTGGGGCCAAGAATTTAAAACGTCCGTTTATTGTTTCCTGTGCCGATGCGCGCACTGAACGGAAAGAGCCACCATTGAAGTAGCCGTTACTATACATCTCTCTCTCTCTAGAATAGAACATTGCATAGCAGAGCATTTTTCTCTTCTGAAAAGTAAACCTCAAGAGATTGAAGAATTTGATCTTTGCGGCTCCGAACTACGTCGTTCGTCACTTTCCCGGCCAAATACACCGGCGTTTCTCCATTTCCGGCCTCCCTCAAGAACCGACGCCACCGAGCCTTTTTTCATCTTCAGTTGCAAGTAAGTAATGAGCTTGAAAGTGTAAAGGAAAGATCAAGAAAAAGAAAGATTTAGGTAGATGTCATATGAAACAGCGATTTCCAATCGCCCTAGTAATGTAACGGATTTTATTTTATTTTATTTTTTTCTTGTTATGAGAGGTGTTGTTATGAAGAAATGATTTATGAGATTGAGTTGTGTCATGCTAGTTCCAGCTTAATATTCATTCGCTCTTTGCATTATAGCTTATTCAGAAATCTGATTTTGTATTTCCACTTCCACGAGGCTTGGATTTTCAGTTTCTCTTCTTAAGTTGGAACCTCTTTTACTACTATTACTGTTATCATGATTCATTTTCCTTCAGTTTTGATCAACACGGTGAGCTGCAGAATACAACAGTTTCGGAACACACCAATGTCCTAATGGAAAAATTAGCTTTGATATTATTTGTAGTGTTCTTTGTTTTCTCTTTTGAAAGGAAGTGTTGGAAATTGCTATAGCTGATGGGTAATTGATCTGCAGAAATTTACATCGGAGAGAATGGTGGGAACATCAGCAACACCTTTGTCTAAGATACAAAGGACTCCGTCAGGTACTCCCGGTGGTCCCAAAATTCGGGAGGAGAAGATTCGCGTAACCGTTCGGATGAGGCCACTCAACCGGAAGGAACAAGCAATGTACGATCTAATTGCTTGGGATTGCTTGGATGAACAAGCTATTGTATTCAAGAATCCAAACCAAGAGAGGGCGGCGTCACTATACACTTTTGGTTTGTATTGCATCAAAGTCATCTTGTTTTGCATGTAACTGTTATACCTTTGTTCAAACTTGCTATTTTTGAATTGGAGAATATATTTGATTTTTTCTTATGAACTGAAATTTTAATAAATGGAAATTAATGAATTTAAATTTTTTATAAATGGAAATTAATGAAAAAAATATGGTTGACAAGCTCATGGCCAGTAATGATTTTTCTAGCATTTTTTTTTTTTTTTTATGTTTCTTGGAGTGGACTTGTATTTGTTAAGTTTTGGTATGTATTGCATCAAAGTCACCTTGTTCTGCATGTGACTGTTAAACCTTTGTTCAAAATTGCTATTTTTGAATAGGAGAAGATATTTGATTTCTTCTTATGAACTGAAATGTTAATAAATGGAAATTAATGAATGTAAATTTTTTAATAAAGGTAAATTAATAAAAAAATCTGGTTGACAAGCTCACAGCTAGTAATGATTTTTCTAGCATTTATTTATTTATTTTATGTTTCTTGGAGTGGATTTGTATTTGTTAAGTTTTGGTATTTATTGCATCAAAGTCATCTTGTTTTTTTTTTAGTAACTGAAGTCATCTTGTTTTGCATGTAACTATTAAACCTTTTTCAAACATGCTATTTTTGAATAGGAGAGGATATTTGATTTTTTCTTATGAACTGAAATTTTCATAAATGGAAATTAATGAATTTAAAGTTTTTATAAATGGAAATTAATAAAAAAAAACTGGTTGACAAGCTCCCGGCTAGCAATGATTTTTTAGCATTTAATTTTTTTATTAGCATTTACTTTTTTATGTTTCTTGGAGTGGACTTTAAAGAAGGTAAGCCACTCCTCCTCTCCTCTGTGACTGAAAGGTCACAAATTCGAATTCGAGAAATAGTCTCTTTATAAATATGCAAGAGTAAGACTGCGTATAAGGTTGCCCTTACTACACCCTCCCTAGTCAGGAAGTGATGGTTTCTTGGAGTGGAATTGTAGTTGTTGAGTTTTGGTATGTATTGCATCAAAGTAATCTTGTTTTGCATGTGACTGTCAAACCTTTGTTCAAACTTGCTATTTTTGAATAGGAGAGGGAGAAGATATTTGATTTTTTTTTTTATGAACTGAAATTTTCATAAATGGAAATTAATGAATTTAAATTTCTTATAAATGGAATTTAATAAAAAAAACCTGGTTGACAAGCTCAGGAGCTAATAATGAACTTTTCTAGCATTTATTGTTTTTATGCTTCGTGGGGTGGACTTGTACTTGTTAAGTTTCTATTTCCTCTCGTAATATTTTTTGTGTCACAGATAAAGTTTTTGCTCCTACATGTTCAACTCAGAAGGTTTATGAAGAAGGGGCTAAAGATGTTGCTTTATCAGCACTTTCTGGAATCAATGGTAACTTATTCCGAGCTAAACCTTATTTTAGAATTTTTCTCTCTCTCTCTCTCTCTCTCTCATATTAAGGACTCTTTTGGATCCTTTCAAAGATTTCATTTTTCTTGCAGCAACAATTTTTGCGTATGGGCAGACTAGTAGTGGTAAGACATTCACGATGAGAGGTATCACTGAAAATGCTATTAAGGACATCTACGAGCACATCAAGAATGTGAGTTGCTATAGATACCAAACTTTATGTCAGTTATCTTTATAGAATGAGAAGGTGAATGAGCTCATATGCCCATTTATACATGTTAAAAAAAAAAAAATAGGAGCAAAAAGCAAGAAAAAGGAAGTAGAAAGGCCATTCATGTTTTGAATCCTATGAACCAAGTCTGTTACATGTCGATGGTAAATGCTTGCATTTATAAACTCTTTTTTATTTTTTATTGCAATTCACAGACACCGGAAAGGGATTTTATTTTGAGAATCTCTGCTTTGGAAATCTATAATGAGACTGTCATAGACCTTCTAAATCGTGAATCTGGTCCTCTTCGGCTTTTGGATGATCCTGAGGTATAGTTCACAGATAAATTTCTACTAAAAGTTATCAAAGGATTCTATATATTTCCTTGATATACATTTTTTCTTTCGATACAGAAAGGGACTATTGTGGAAAAGCTGAATGAAGAAGTAGCTAAGGATGGTCATCATCTAAGGCATTTAATTGGCATCTGCGAAGGTAATTAGAAATCTGACTTTTTAGTTTGTCTTGTGAGTCATACAGGCTTCCTAGTTTTCTCTTGAGCATCTGGTGTCATCCGATCTTTCATGTAATATTGTTATATTTCACTATTTCTGATGTTTGAACCAGATCTCCCTTTCTTTAAAAACCATGTAATAGAATTGTAAAAATATATAAGTTGTGGCCTTGTGGGCACTTTGCACTCAATATGAAAAACACTTATTCTTTAGGTGACCTACATAGTACTACTGTTCATATAAAATATTGTATTTGCAGCGCAAAGGCAAGTTGGGGAAACTACTTTAAATGATAAAAGCTCAAGATCACATCAAATAATCAGGCTGGTAAGCTGAACTAATGAAATAGTATTCATTATCTTCTTTTATGACGATAATGCATGAATATTACAGTGTTATCTTGGTTAACCTTCCCATTTCTCTTCTTTAGCTAATTTATGCAGAGGTTAGAGATAAGAAATCATTGTTTACTGCTCTGTAATCAGTATTTATATATTTTTATATGAATATTTCAGACTGTAGAGAGCATCCTTCGTGAAAGGTCAGGCCATGTAAAGTCTTTCCTAGCCAGTTTGGTATGTTTTATCTTCATATTTAGACCTGAAAGTCTCGTTAACAAGCTAGTCATATTTATCTTCATATTGACCTGAAAGTATTTATAACTTCATAGAATTTTGTGGATCTTGCTGGAAGTGAACGCATCTCTCAAGCAAATACATGTGGAGCAAGATTGAAGGAAGGCAGCCACATCAATCGAAGTTTATTGACACTAGCGTCAGTCATCAGGAAGCTAAGGTTCAGCAATTATAGATTTTTTATAAGTATCCAAATGCACGTGGCTACAGTTTCTTATTATTCTTCTTGTACAAAAGAGACATGATTAGAAGTAAACTTTTGAACAGCCAAGATTATTAAAAGGTCTTAGTTGATTACCTAACAAAGCTACGGAAAATACCTATTTCCATGAAAGTTGTATTGAGTTGATTCTAATATTGCGAAACTTAAAAGCTATTGACGACAAACTAATATACTGATGGAACCCAATTCAGTTTACTACATAGAGTCTCGTGATAGTTTTCATTTGAGAACTAGAAATTTTTATTGTGGAAGTTGGGGTAATTTGAACTTGGCATTGACTATGATCACAAAGTGAAGACATTTAGTGCTATGTAATTTGGTCAATATACAAGAGTCTGATTCTGCTTTTGGAGTTTTCTTTTGCTTTGCAGTGGTGGAAAACGTGGTCATATACCATATAGAGATTCAAAACTGACACGAATATTGCAGTCTTCACTTGGGGGGAATGCTCGAACAGCGATTATATGCACAATAAGTCCGTCCTTAAGTCACGTGGAGCAAACAAGAAATACACTAACATTTGCTACAAGTGCAAAGGAAGTTGTTAATACTGCCCGAGTGAATATGGTATGAATAAATGCCTAAATATTTGTTTGATTGGATAGTACATTAGTATGAAAATCTTTTCTACGCTCGTTCTTATTACTACATACAATTATTTTTCTAGAAAAATTGTTTTTAAATAGAAGCCAGCAGAAGTTTGGTAGCTCACATTCTTATTGAATTGAATTAAAGATAGTGGCTTCCCTTGGCTTCAGACTTCGGTAGCAGCCAACCTCTAATTGAGGCAAAGGATATGTTTGATATAAGTGTGTAAAATTATTGAAGAAAGCGATGGAGACACATTTTCATAAATAGCATCCTGTCTTTCATTTTCATATTAGAAAATCAAAGGGCTAATTTGCAGTATTTAGTCTCTCGCTCTAATGGCAATTCTAACTGACCTGCTTTTCTCTATAATCACTTCTGAGTGAAATTCATGTTTTAATTCAACAAGCCACCTCATTTATCAAATACATGCATATTTTTCACCAAAAAGAAAACTATTATATTAAGATAAGCTTGTTTAATATGCTGGTGGTGATTTTTCAACAGGTTGTTTCAGATAAGACCCTAGTTAGACAGTTGCAAAAGGAAGTTGCCAGGCTTGAAGGGGAGTTACGAAGCCCTGAACTTTCTTCAGATTCATGTCTAAGGTCATTGCTAGCTGAAAAGGAATTGAAAATTCAGCAGGTACAAAATTCTGTTCTTGGTCTTAATTTTCATGTAAAATATGAGTTTACGGAGGTAAGATTTGTGATGTGACCTCTTAGTTCTCTAAATAGGTATTAATGGTACTCTTTGGAGTTCTTACATGATCTCATGCCTCAAGATGTGGTCAATGATTTCTAATATAGCCATACTTTTTAAAATTAAGTAAATCTAGGTATCCTTTTATATGTAATCAATGCATTTTGACTTTCCCATTCCATAATGGATCAAATCCTGAGAACTGGTTTCGGCTAGGCAGCTCTTCTAGTCAAGAAGACAAGCGTAAACTGAGAAAGGCTAATTTAATATAAACCACATAAAAAAGCTGACTTTCCTTGAGTTTTTATATAAGCCTTCTCTCTTATGGATGAATAGAATTGATAAACAAAAATTTGCAGATGGAAAGGGATATAGAGGATCTGAGGCGACAGAGAGACCTTGCACAATCTCAACTTGAACTTGAAAAAAGAGCAAATAAAGTTCGGAAGGTATTTGGTATTATTATAGCACATTAGTTTAACCCTTATTTATTCTTCTAACTCAAATTATATAATTCTTGCAGGGATCAAATGATCATGGGCCCTCTAGTCAAGTTGCAAGATGTCTTTCTTTTCCTGAAGAAAATGAATCAAAAACTCCAGGCCGAAAAGCAGCAGTAGGCAGGCAGGCAATGCTGAAGAATTTATTGGCTGTTCCTGATCCATCCATACTGGTCGGTGAAATTCGGAAGCTTGAGCATCGGCAGCTGCAGCTCTGTGAGGATGCAAATCGAGCACTTGAAGTTCTACACAAGGATTTTGCAACCCACAAACTTGGAAATGAGGAAACTGCTGAAACCATGTCGAAAGTATTGTCTGAAATAAAAGAGTTGGTAGTTGCTAGCTCTACTCCCGAAGAAATTGTGGCTGCAGATAAGGCCAATCTGATGGAAAAGTTCACTCAGTTGAAATATCAAGGAAACACTATTGCATCTTTAGAAAGGAAGCTGGAGAATGTTCAAAAATCTATAGATAAGCTAGTCTCTGCTTTTAGTACTGAGGAGACTCTAGAGAGCAAAACCCCACAGAGAAGGAAGAAAATTCTTCCTTTCACCTTAAGCAACAGTCCTAACATGCAACATATAATACGCGCTCCTTGTTCGCCTCTCTCCTCTTCTTGCAAAGCAATGGAACACGAAATTGAGAATAGGGTGCCGGAAAACAATATTGCCATATCTGACAGTGATAATTTTGCAAGGTTACATAAAGATACTCCACGTAAGGATGATGAAAGTTGTGATTCGATTTTATCACGGGATGGAAGCCCTGCTGCACGGCAATCAAAATCAGTAAACGTGAAGAAGATTCAGAAAATGTTCAAGAATGCTGCTGAGGAGAACATTCGGAGCTTCAGAGTTTATGTTACCGAGTTAAAAGAGCTCGTAGCAAAACTGCATTACCAGAAGCAGCTCTTGGTTTGTCAGGTAAGGTTTCATAGATTTCCTCTATTAATATGTACTATAGTGCTTCCATGTTCATTGTCGTCATCTTAATAAAAATATTTCTTGCATTTTATCGTGTTTCTTGTCCTGCCTTCTTTATTGGTTCCTTGTATAAAACGTCACACTCTGGTGTGTTCGAGTTATTTGAAATTGGAACGAGTATGGAATATGTTCCTAGTTTTTGTTACATATTTCTGGGCTCAGAATTCATATAGAGGTTCGACCTGAATTCTAAGGCAGTGAAAAATTCATGCCAGGATTAGCCTTTTTTAGGCAGTAGGGTAATTTGATTCCTTTCAGGAGCAAATCAAATGGACGGTTAGAAAAACTACGATTCGTTTTTTTCCCACCTGACTAGGAGGTCTGGTGCTTGACCGACCAGTCAGGTACAGAGTTACGTGTGTCCTTTCTCCTATAAAAAATTTGACACTCTTTATAACCACTTTTATCTGACACTACTAACTTGAATACCAAATACATGGTTTGTTAGGTCTGGTGCTTGACCGACCAGTCAGGTACAGAGTTACGTGTGTCCTTTCTCCTATAAAAAATTTGACACTCTTTATAACCACTTTTATCTGACACTACTAACTTGAATACCAAATACATGGTTTGTTAGTACTTAGCACTTCTTTCAGGTTAACCTGTTGCAGAAAATGCTTGAATGAGTTTAACTTCAACAGCAATTCATTAATTTTGATACGCTGATGTTTATACTTTTTTTCCCTTGCACGGGTTTAGGTTTTGGAGCTTGAAGCAAACAAGTCTGTAAATGAAGAAATGGATACAACTGATGGATCTCCCTTACCATGGCACATACTATTTGAACAGCAGAGAAAACAAATTATCATGTTATGGCATTTGTGCCACATTTCTATCGTGCACCGGACACAGTTTTATCTTTTGTTGAGAGGAGATCCTTCTGATCAGATATATATGGAAGTTGAACTTAGAAGATTGACTTGGTTGGAACAGCACCTGGCAGAGCTTGGGAATGCTAGTCCTGCACTTCTAGGTGATGAGCCTGCAAGTTCTGTTTCCGCAAGGTATGCGAGTGTCTTTAATAATTCCTTTGAATGGTAAGGTGTATATAATGCCAGTGTCTTTGCAAAAAGGTTTATTTCAGAAAAATTTAATGGAGATTTGTACTATGAACTGAGAATAGTATAAAAATCTTTTTTCGTTAATTGATTGATTGTCAAATGCAGCATCAGAGCTCTGAAGCAAGAAAGGGAGTATCTAGCTAAGAGGGTGAACGCTAAACTTACAGCAGATGAGAGGGAACTACTTTATGCAAAATGGGAAGTTCCTCCTGTAGGAAAACAAAGGAGGCTGCAACTAGTGAATAAATTGTGGACTGACCCGTATAACATGCAACACGTACAAGAAAGCGCTGAAATTGTGGCAAGGCTTATTGATTTCTGTGCATCCGATGAAAATAGCAAGGACATGTTTGAATTAAACTTTGCAAGCCCTTCTAATAAGAAAACATGGGGCTGGAACTTGATATCAAATCTTTTAAATTTGTGAAAACAAACTATTGTAGTTTTACTTCATATATGGTTATATTTGATAGTTCTATTAAATATATATTGCCGATTATTGGCATGCAAGTTGCATGATTTTGCGAAGAATGAAAAAAAATGACATATTTTAAATTTACTAAATTTGGTTTTGGTTTTGGTTTTAGTTTTTTTTTTTTTTTTAATTTATATCACTAATTTTATGAGTGAGTAATTTTAGTCCCTTGCTTTGCTGGTATAACAATTTCATGAAGTGCTGACATAACAAATGAATTCTTAACTTGCTGCCTATATTTTACACGTCATCAATTTATAAATTGATGGAGTTCCACTTGACCAACCAAATCAATGCTTTGATATATTGTTTATTAATGTTTTTTTAATAACCAACCCAATTAATGCCTATAAAAAAAAAATGCACCAAGGGATAATGTGGTGTAGATGAGTCACTGTAATTACAGTTTTTTCTTTTAATAAAATATATTGTTTTATGAAAGTTTGATGTTTAGCTTTAACAAAATTAAAATATAAATATTAGAATAATATTTCTGTAGTTACTGCAGATAAGTTATCTGCATTTATTCTCAAAACGATATCACTTTGGATTTGAAAAATTACATAATTATATTATAAAGACTATAATAACCCTGAAATAAATTAAAATTATAAAAATACCATAATTTTCGCTTGAAAAAGATATCGTATAATGACTTAACTTATCTGCATTTAACTAACTGAAACAAAATTTATTACAAATTGAATTAGTGCTTAAATTTTTTAATAACATTTTTTTAAAAAAAATTAATCAACTATACATATAATATAAGTTATCCTTAATTTTTGTTCTGTTGTTTTGTTCTGTCTCTCCTCTCACACCATATAGGGTATATTAAACCTAATTTTTCACACTCCATAACGTAACAAGGCTGATCTAAGACTCTTGTATCGAACGAGCTAGCTAAGTAGGGTTTGCAAATCGCGTCGCATCGGCTCAGCGAAAATCGTTGGTGAGAGAGAGAGAGAGAGAGAGAGATGGGAAGAGAAAGAGAGACCCCAAAGCAACAACAGGTAGCTTACACGGTGGAGCAGCTTGTTGCCTTCAATCGGTATAATCCTGATATTCTTCCAGATCTCGAAAACTATGTCAACGATCAGGTCTCTCTATTTTTGCTTTTAATTGAATTTGCGTTCTCATTTATTTTATTTTTCATCCACGATTTCTCAGTTGTTTTCTCAGTTGTTTTCGTAAATCTAATAGCTAGTTTTATTTTGGTAATTTTGTTGAATCTAAACGGTAGTGTAGTTATAATTTGAAACTCTGTATCCTTTATTTGACCAGGTTTCATCACAAAAATACAGCCTGGATGCAAACCTGTGCCTTCTTCGCCTCTATCAGGTATTTATGTCACCGCTTCTCCTCTCTCATTGTACTTTCTTTTTTAATTGTTTGTGTTAATTAATTGTTTCTGCTTTTCTGCTTGTTTGTTGTTTTATCATATGTTCTAAGATCACTTTCTCATTGGAACTCATAAAGTGATCAGTGTTGGTTACAGATAATAGTTTGTTTGTTTATTATGGCAGTTTGAACCAGAGAAAATGAGTTCCCAGATTGTAGCCCGCATATTGGTTAAGGTGTGGTTAAGCATATTTTTGGATTTACTTATTTACTTGTGAGCACAAAGCATATGACTGGATTATGGATGTTATGTCCGCACATGCTCAAATCTTTATTTTCGGTTTTTGAACAGGCCCTCATGGCAATGCCAGCTCCTGACTTCAGCCTGTGTCTCTTTTTGATTCCAGAACGTGTGGTATAATTCTCATAACTTACTCTTTTCTTTGTAGTAGTTCTTCTTGCTCTCGTGCATGCATAATTATATATTTGAGTAATTCAGTCACTCATGTGAGACATGCTTGAATAAGCAGGATTTTTTATTAATTTTATCCTACTAAACTGGAATAGTTTATGGGACTCCTATTAGCAGCCTCTGGGATTAATGCGGTCGTTTAGGGCTCTTCTATTTGAATTTGAATTTTTACCTAACTGTATCAGTGACGAGTTCAGTTCCTTCTTATTACACTATGTGGCACTTTGGTTCCTCTTTTCATATTAGATTTTTTATTATGATTTTTAGCAAATGGAGGAGCAGTTCAAGACATTGATTGTTCTGTCTCATTACTTGGAGGTATGCATCAGCTTTAGTTGCTCAAGGCTTAAGCAGGCTTTTGAAATTATAAATTAATACATGTCTTTTCTTCAGACAGGAAGATTTCGGCAGTTCTGGGATGAAGCAGCCAAAAATCGTCATATAGTTGAAGCTGTGCCAGGTAATTATATATTATAATTCATGAAATGATAATTAGCTGTCATGACTAATGAACTTTGAAGAATGTAGCCAAAAGATTTTGAATCTCTATTAACATAAGTTTTAATTTGGACACCTTGTTTCTGCTTTATTTAATTGTGCTCTATCTGGTTAATTGGGTCTTGTCACTTGGACACCTCATGGTCCTGCTCCTTCTTGCTATGAAATTAAGCATGCGTATTTGTATCATATTAGTATATTACTTGTCATACATCTCATTCAGTATAAATTTATACAGAATATTGTCGTTTATTTACTTTTTTGAACTGATGCACTCTTTGTAATATGCTGCTTCAATATCTTATAGCTGCTAAGTATTGCTTTTCTTGAAACAAGCTGAGATCTTTACTTATCTTGATGCGGCTGTTGTTCATCTTGTTTAGCGTTGACACCGATTGAGCTTCATAACTTCAACTTCTTCATTAATGCATGCTTATATACTAGCTTAATTAGAAATTAATTGCAGGATTTGAGCAGGCAATCCAAGGCTTTGCGATTCATGTCCTTTCCTTGACTTACCAAAAGGTTCCCAGAACTGTGCTTGCCGAGGTATGCTTGAATTTTGTCCCTTTGAAGTATTAGTTCATTTATTATTGGAATGTTGTTTCGTCTCTAGGTAGCAGCTGCTAGCACAAAGTTCAGTACATTTATTCTCTAATTGCTAGAAATAAATGTATGAGTCATATCAAACATGAGTTCACGGCTGTAATGCTCTGTTTTTCTTTAGCAGTTAAATGGTTCTTGAAACCTTTGGCAGCTTCTTGTTTGCATTTTTCTCATTGTCATAAACAAGTGAATCAAACCAGTGAAGGGGGTTCTGGAGTCTTTTAGGGAGCAGTGGGCTCTGTGGAAATTGTTTTTTACTTTTTATGACTTTCACATACTTGCATGATCGTCAAAGAGGAATTTGGTTTCTCTTATTACTTTGAAGTGTAACACCATTTATTCTGTGTGAAACTTTCATAGGCTATCAATATAGAAGGTTTATCCTTGGACAAATTCCTGGAACACCAAGTAGCCAACTGTGGTTGGGTTATTGAGAAAGGCCAAGGCAGGGGTCAACTCATTGTCCTTCCCAGAAATGAATTTAATGACCCAATTTTGAAGAAAAACACCGCAGATAGTGTACCATTGGAGCACATTACTCGCATCTTCCCAATTCTTAGCTGACCCTTTCTGGGAGATATATGGATTTAAGATTTTAGTTGTAGCAACATCTTGCAGTCTCCCTTCCTCTTGGATGCTTCAATTTGAGAATCAGTGGACAGCTATTGTAGTTTACTCTCTTGTTTTTGCATTTATGTCTGAAAATTAATTTGTTTTACTATGCTTTATTATTCACTGGGAACTAATTCGTTGAAAATGGTCTGTTCTCTTTACTGCGCCTATAATTTTCCTGACTAGTTGGGAGAGCGTATGAGCTCATACAAAATACATATTAGGAGTGTCATGATTGTTAAAAATGGAAGGAGTAAAGAAGAATTTTTAGAGTTGTAGTTTACAGTTAGAGAAATGTTTACTTTTGTATCTTGTGTGGACCGTATGGTACCGGGGCAAATTTAAGCCCGAATATGGGGTTGCTTTTTTGTGTTAATACTTCATTTATGAAAATGAAGATGCAAATTGCAATTGCTGAAGGGTAACTAAATTTGTGAGGTGATTAAATTTTGAAGTTTTTCGATAATTTGTTAGGAGCAAAAAGTGCGTGTAGGTAGCTTACCCAAATTTGGTTTTCCTTTGTAGAAATTATTTTATCAACCTTTTCCTTTCGATTTTGTTGTATCTCCAAATAAAATGTAAGTCGTGAAACTAAACTCGTGTCAATTTGATAGAGCGATTTATTTTATTATATTGTGATTTTATTAATTATTTGATAAGTCAATAGGGTACGGTAAATTTATTTTATTCTATAGGTAACAAATACTAGCTAGGATTATATATATATATATATATACGATCAGGATCATTTTACACCGGTATAAGACTAATAAGTCTTACATTACATCTCAACCGTTGATTTTCGTGCATTCAACAATTATAATTTAGGAAGTCATATGAATTAATTAATCATTAATTACATTATAAATACCAACTGATGATTTCAGTCCATCAACGGTTGAGATATGAAAAAAATATTTCTACAATCACTTTAGATAAGGTTATTTACAGTTATTCAAAAACTACGTCATTTTGACTAATGAAAGATGTTTCTGTAATTTTAGGTGAATTAATAAAGGGTGTTTTAGTAAAATGTATATGATAAAAAAATAAACAAAATTATGGAAACACCCTTTATTAATTCATTTAAAATTACACAAACACCCTTCATTAATCAAAAAGACGTAGTTTTTGGATAGCTGTAGATAACCTTATCTAAAGTGGCTATATATATATATATATATTAAATTATTATTTCTAAATTTTTTAATAATTTTTTTAAAATCAATACGGTTCATTTAACATATATCATACATATTCTCCACGAGAGATAATCTTGTTCGAATCAAGAATATCTATATTATGGTGAAATTAAATCTCCCAAATAGGAGTTTAGTGTATATTTAGCGTATATCATCATTCACTTTCAAATTGCATATTTAGTATATATCAAACATGCAAATAGGATGAGTTTATCATTTCCTAATTCCCTATTCTTTTTTTTTGGAGTTACCCAACTCTAATTACCTCTTTGAGGAGAGTTGGCTCCCTCCGATATCCCCACAAGCTTCAACTCTTTGAGTCGGCTATGAGACTAATCCGGAGTGCGGGGTCAATGATGACTAAAGGTTCGGCCTCCTCCCCAAGAATGCATTCAACAGGAATTGAACACATGTCCAACCCCACTAACTCAGCGCCAAGGAACCAACTGAGCTGCACCCATCGGGTCTAATTCCCTATTCTTATCTACCTTCACTTCCTCTCTATCCTTATTCTTTCATATCCACCAATGAAGCCCCATGCTTTTAGTAAGCAAATTGAGATTTCATATTCTGTTTTAAGAGAAGCCAAACTGGAGTGATGTGTTTTTTATTTTCTTTGGTAATACGCCTTGGAATGAGGTGAGGCTAGTTCCACGATTTAGTTAGTTAATAACTCTGTAAGTTAAAAAAATTGGCTTCTTGTAGTTTCCATGACTTTATTGCTCCTCGTAAGAACTTCAAAACGTTAAGTCGAAAAATAACCGCTTCAGGTAAAGCCAGATAGCAGTGTTAGTATAACAGCGAGCGAGTTAACATCATATATATTACAATAAGCGAAGTTACTTAAAAGAATCAATTATCTACATCTCTAAAAGTTGAGCTCCCACAAGCAGGGTAACAATATTTACAAAAGTGTACTTCACTGTAAGTAATATTTAACTGGTGAAAGAAGAATGAAAACAGTGAAGTCCAGGGAAACAGCAACAACCAAAAAAAGAGAAGAAAGACAGTGAAGAATTTTTACAACCACACTATGCTTTCAGGATTTGATTGACATTAATGTTGCATGTCATGTCACTACCAAGAATGGTTGCAGGATCCGTCTTAGATTGTAGCATCATAAAGAGAAGCCATCTCAAATGCTTGTTCCATTCCTTATCACAAGCTCTCTCTAGTTTCTTCTAATCAGCATCTTTAGACCAAAGCCAAGTCAAACTAAAAAAATGTCAATTATATATTAGTGCAAAAGTTCAATGGCAAAGTGTCTGTCCATTAGTCACCCAGTGTACAAAAGTATCTGGAAATTCATCTGAAGCATTGGACTGTCCATTACTGCAGGATAACTCTGATTCAGTTTGCTCACTTCCCTGATAATATTTCATAGAATCAGTATGAGAATTCTGGCATAAACAACAAGTACAGATCCTAAATGAATGGTAACAGATTGTTGTGCAACATGCACAGAATACATAATCTTTTATCAGATCAGAGCAAAACCTACTTAGTCAAAGAATAGCCTAAACTGTTTATTATTTTTCCACCAAAACAATTAACTTCAAATTAATGCTACAAATTATATAGATTGCATCTCTAGTGAATGTAAGCTTGGATGAGGAGGTTGTGAATGTGATACTACTATTTCAGAAAGAGTGGCACCTTTACGCTGGAACCGCTCACATTACTGGTGGAGGGAGTTATTTCTCCGACCATCACTCCACTGACAACGTTTTCTGAAGAAAGCCCAGCAATTGGGGAGTTGGTAATTGATGACCTGCATTCAGTATAAATTGGTCTCTAAATAAACACAATTGATTTTGGACAAAACAATAATATAACGCCAGAAAGAAGGAAAGTAATGCAGACAAATTGTTTAGACCATCAGAGAGGCTCTACAAGAAGTACATCATACACCCAAGACAGTGGTATTCACACCTAAAATTCACAATTCTTAATTATATTTCTTATTTTTCTCATCCCTACCCTGTCTTGTAGCCTATGTACCTCCCCTAATAAAATATTCCTGCAACAAAACATTCTTGATAGGTACTTGTACAATTGCTTCATTAGAAAGCATTACCTATCACATGGCTCTTCTTCACATGAATTGCCTGAAGAAGATAGCCAATCCAGGTCAACAAAATTGGAGCAGCTGAAGGAATCCTGGTACTCGGTATAGTAAATATTATCACTTTCCAGGCAGCGCTCTCTTTGCATGTCTCCGAAAAGCTCTCTACGAGGCATTGAGGGAGTGTACCTACACAAACAAAATGAATTGCATATCATACATAAATGGACTAGATGGAGAAAACGAAGCAGCAAGAAAACACGTCACCATCGTGCAAGCAGGCAACTTAAGTTTCCACCTTGTACACAGGATGAGCCCATTGACACATTTTAGATTGCAAATTACAGTGTGTCATTGGGCACTTCAACATACAAACACAGCCTAAGAGAGGACCGTCTCAAATAGATTTTTTCCCTTTTTCCAGAAAATATAAATTAAAAATATTTACCATTTTAGTTATTATACAGTTCTCAAGAAAGGCCTGCTCTGAAAACACGAAAAAACTTTCTCGACTAAGGCTACTAATAAATACAGTAAAAAAGAGAGACAATGTATAAAATGAGATATTGACAATCTATGGCCTCCTGTATACATTGAAACCGGTTACAATTCAAGTTCACATTAATATGGATTACAAACCTTGAAAATGAAGTGTCACTCTCAGTAGTAGATATTTCAGGTGATGACTCACAAAAAGCAGCCTTACTTCCTTCTTCTGATCGATTGGGTAAACCTGGATTTGAGAATTTTTCGTGCTTGGCATTTGGGGCTGACAAAGGTGTAGAACTTTCACGAAGAATGTTTCCATCTGAGAAGGATCTTTTGAAAATTAACCTTAAAACCAAATTTCAAAATTACCACATTAGTAGCATAGACAGGCATTTTGAATCTGCATGTGTTATCATGATATTTGCAATAGACCCAAATAATTATTGTCATAAACCAACTATCCCAAAAGCTTAAGGTATTGGTTGAAAGCATATGAATGGTATCTTAACACGTTCCGTCACGCATTAGCTTTGAGGGCTTGAAGCGTGAACTATGCATGGGCCTATCATATCTTGTGTTGAAATTTAACCTTTTATAGAAGAATGAGGGAACAATGATTGAACTCTATACTATTACCACAAGGTCATATAGGCTCTGATAGCATATTATTATGTAACTATCCGAAAAGCTTAAACCATTGGATCAAAACACATGAGTGGTTTAATATCTTAACAATTATGTAATATCAACAAATACATCACTAGGACAGACCCACATTAAAGTTCATATAAGCTTTGATTGATGATCAGCCTCCTCATTCTTTCTATAGTGTCTTGCCTTGTCACTTTTCTGCACCTTGTCTTCAACCCCTCTGGCCCTCCTCTCCTCAAAAATTAAAAACCATAGTATTCAAAATCATTTATCTGTAGTTGAGAGTTTTATTTGGATCCCACTGATTTTTGCATTGCAAGGCAACTACTTTCTTATGGATTAATCTGTTTGGGGTTGTCACCCTGGAGCAGCTTCTCATGATACAGTTTGAAGATTTTAGCAAGAATAAGAAGGTTAAGACTTTATAGCGTGAGTGGTGTATGCAATCCAGTCCTATTTAGTTGGAGATAAAAGCCTGCAATTATGTCTCTTTCCCCTTATTTATTATTGGTTGGAGTATGTTTATGGCCTCTCTTCGGTTCTCTTTCTGTTCCTCATATACAAAGAGATTGGACATCTTTGCATTTTTTAACCACATTGACTCAGTTTATTATTATTATTATAATATATAGGAGGATTTCTTATCCTGCCCAACTTGCATTTTTCTCTTTTAATAATATTCTTCTTTACACCCGCTTCCAATATGTATCATCAACACTTGTGCTGCTGACTATCCCGCACCTCAATATAGTATTATAAGGATCAAAGGGCAATCATTTTTAATATTAACACTTGATATACACACTTTTTAAAAAACATCCTACGCACACTAGGTATATCCTATCTATATTATCATATGCTTTGTGGAACTTATGTTTTCATAATTATATATATTAATACTTTGGTATTTTAATATTTTTAAAAATGCGTATGCCAAGTCATGTCATTGTGATACAGGATAAAGGGGGTCAATTATGACTAGTAGCCTTAGTGCCTTACTTATTTGTCTTTCATTTCTTGTTATTCAAGTTACTTTTGATAGCCAGGATTGGATCTATTCTAAGGGTTAGGATTTTTTTTGAAGGTACCTATCCTATATAAAAGGTTTTGAAGGTTGAAAGGGGGTAACTCAAATTTTCTTAATAACAAAAAATTCTCTTCTATTTACCTAGATGTTGTCCAGAAGACCTTACCTCTATTGGTTGTGTAACCTAGCTCTTCAACCCTTCTTCTCTCCCAAATCCCAATTTCTCTTTTTTTGGTGCCGGTCTCAGTGCCTCTTGAATACAACAATTTTAACCCTAGGCCTTTTGAACAGACATGAAATTTCGTTTTAGATTTAGTTATCTTGAAATGTCCATTTTGGTGTCTGTTCCATAGATCATGTCATAGAAAATATGGAAGGGAAAGATGTACTGTAAAAATTTCAAACACAGAAACCCCAATGCAAGATCTTCAATCAAGGACAGATTCATAGAAGGATAGGAAACAAAAGGTAATCTATTCCCCATAAATTATATTCAAATACCTTGTATTGTCCTCTCCATTTCTTCCTGCATCATATTGCTGATCTGAACCCAATTCCCATAGAGCGGGCTTACCCTGTTGTGGCTGAAAATGCCCCAGGAATCTGAAACAGAAAGATCATCTCATGATTAGTAGAAAAGAATAATCAGTTAAGACCACAAAGGCATATTTACAAACAGAAGTCAGAAAATATATCACAAAAGTAGAAACTGCCAAAAATAGAATGACCAAAGTTGCTAAAATGCCAGAGGACAGCAGGGCATGCAGAGGGATTGGAAAACACTGCTGATTTGTCACTGTTTTGCAGTGTTTGAGAAGAGTTCCTAATCGTACTGTGTTATCCGTCTTTTCATTTAAAAAATTTCTCATCCAAAACAAAAGCTCCCTATGAGAGAGAGATGGAGACAGAGAACAGATAATAAAACAAACAACCAAATAGCAGACATGCTATAAATCCCACTGCTGGAAATAATATAACTCCAGTCCAGAGAAAAAAAAAAGTGTACTACTGCAACACATACACATTAATTGCATCTTGCTTCTCAGCATCCATGTATGCATTGCTGTAATAGCGTTGAAGAGTCCTAAAAAACTCCTGAGACTGTGTTGCAGCTCTCCACTGGCCCCTCCTCTCAGAGAATATCTACATAGAAACAGAAGTTGAAAAAAGACCATCAGAAAAGGGTGAAGAACACAAATATTACACCATAAAAAATTTCAACAGGAAAATCCACAGGTACTCTGCCCACTTAACAGTAATGTGGAATATTACAGGCAAGAAATGAAGAAGAATCTAAAGACTGGAAAGCCCCTCAGACGGTTAACCTCATTCTCATTCAAGCAAAATTAACTTTTATGCCCTACATTATGCATAAGGTAATTAGTGGTGGTCACAAAGCTATATTTATCAATGTTCTCTAAAACTTATACATGGCAGGACAAGAGTCCATTCCCACAGTACCAAATACCAACTAGAAAGCTAAAAAAGGCCATTGCATGCCATCCAGCTCAGGAAACATAATTAAATAGCTATGAACTGTGTTTAACCCCTAAAAAATTTTGAGTGGGTGGTTAATAAAGAGGTCTCCTCTCTTTATCTCCAAATTTAAACCCAATGATGATATTTCAAAGGTATTTAAAAGAGAAAATGATGTAGCAAAAAAGTCAGTTCCCAAGCTACATTAAAATCTGTAAACTAATGTAATTGTAACAAGGCTCGGAGTTACAAATCACCTTGTTGTGAGCAGCAGAACCACCATACTGATGTGCAAGTATGTCACCCATCCGCTCATAAAACAACATCAAATCATCAGCTACAGGATCATCAAGTTCAACTATAGGGCGGTCAATAACTCCGATGGCATGGAGCTGGTGGCCAAGAGCAGCCAACCCATATGCATATTGTGCAACGTTTGTGCGATCCAAGCAGTCTATGCAATTGGTCCTTAGCACCCCCTTCTGCAACATGGGTGGTTTGACAGAATGCTTTTCATTGACAACGTTGTTTTCTTTGGCAATAATATTTCCTTCGCTTGGTTTTCCCTCTAAATTATTAAAATCCTCATTATCATCATTGACATGTCTAGTGGACGAAAAGCTTCCCTTATCAATATTGCTGCATGCAAAACTTAACAATCAATAAACAAGAAATGACCGTGGATGAACTTTAGATATCTCCCTCTCCATCAAGCATAAACTACTTATATATTAATATCATTCGGTTTATTCTTTGGCAAAGTTTATATCATTGTTCTTATCTTTTTCCAAAGACAATATATAAAAGTATACACAGTGAATTCATAAAATGTTGAAAAAAGTAATTGAAGATTTGAAACAACATGAAAACCTTACTCTGTAGGTGGCCAATTCATATAGTCTTCTGGTCTCAAGTCTGGCGTCACTTGGCAATAGAAAAAACCTGTTAACGTCAACGCATTTGATGCCACTCTGCGTAGAATCAGCAACACATTTGTAGCTTTGCTGAAAGTAAAATATAAGGCATACTTTTGAATCAGCTTACTCATAACATACATTATAATTTGCTAAGAAGGATAAAATTACATAATAGAAAAAATGAACCTCTGAAAATGTTTGTGCAAATCCCAGTGAAGGAACCTAAGTCTGTTCTCCTCAGATAAATCTTTATTAATGAAATCTATGGCATTAGCAAACTCTGAACAAAGTATGGACTCACGCGGCTTTTTCTCATGGGTCTGTTGATTTTTTTTTGGAAATAAAAAATATCAATCAGCCTACAGAGTCTTATAAAAGATGAAAGTGTTAAAGTTATATAATTTAAGAAAGGAGAAAATAAAGATTCAAAACAATAATACATTAAATTGCTACGATGTAATATTATGATGTGATGCTAAATATTAATAATCCAATAGTGCTATTTATAATGATAGCAACTCGTAATCCTAATTGAATAATGGAACAATATCTTCTCAAGAGAAGATAAAATCTCCAAAAATAAGGTAAGGGAACACAACTATCCCTAATATAACACAAATCATACAAATCTATTATGCATCATTCTCTTAACCTGACTGCTTAATCTTTTTGGATAGTTAATTATGACATGTTAAAAGAGCTTCTATGACTAAGTGGTAGAGTTCAATCCTTATTACCCCATTCTTCAAACAAAAACTTGAGTTTCAACACAAGGTAAGTGGCCTGTGCATCATCCAAGCTTTAAGCGCAAAGAGTTTTTGTGTGAGAATGTTGGGTTAAATTTTAATGAGATAAAAATAGAAAATAGAAAATAGAAAATAGAAAATAGAAATGTGAAGAGTTCTCTGGTGAAGAGTCATGTCTTTAGGTTTGTGTTAGTGGACATTAATGAGTTTGAAGTTATGTCAGTTAGAATATTAATGAGTCAGTTATGTCAGTTAGAATATTAATGAGTCAGTTATGTCAGTTATAAAGTAATGAGGGTGTTATGTGTGGAGTTATATTTGTCAGTTTTATAGCTTATAAATAGCCTTTGATAGTTTGTATGAAATGTAGATCAAGAGATCAAGAGAAAAAGAGAAAGAGCAAGAAAGCAAGTTTTATAGAAAAAGCTTTTGTAGATACACAAGTCTGCTTGTCTCTTACATCTGTGTGTGGATATTCAATTCTAACAAATTGGTATCAGAGCTATGGAGAAAAAGAGCGAGTTGGAGGTGCCACTCTTCCATGGAGATAAGGATGAAGCATTAGATTGTCTTCTCTGTTTGAAGGAACATTTTCGGAAAGAAAAAACCTGGACGGAGGACAAATGGCAGGTAGCCATGAGAAGACTCAGAGGAAGCGCAATCAAATGGTTCCGTACATGGAACTGTCGCGACTTTAATAATATGTGGAAGGATTTTCTAATGGCCTTCATAACAAAATACTTGCCTGGACGTTTTGATTTGATTAATGAAGAAGATGAAATCTTCAATGATAATGATGAAGATGAGGAAAATGATGCGGATGAAGAAGAGACCGAGATGGTGGAATTCGAGGTTGCCAACGGCAACGCATCCGCGGAGGAGTTTGACGTGTCAGAACGCGTAAGAGACGACTCGGAGAAGAAGACGATGGAGATGACTGCGGTCGAAGAAGCTGAGATAGAAGATGAGGAGAACGAAGGAGCCGAGATCGAAGCAGAGAAGGACGGGAACGACGAGTCCATTGTCGAGGTAGAAGACTTCGTGGAACCTGAGTGTCTGGAGACAGAGTCGAAAATCGGAAAGGAGATTGAGAAGCCGAGGTGCTTGATGAAGACCGGCATGGAGGAGACCGCGAATACGAGTTCATGTTCTGGAGAGCTCGACCCCGGCGTGATGAGGTTGATGTCGGAGACCGGCATAGGCGCGGTTCGGGTTGGAAGTCAGAAGTTGGAGACTGCATTGAATTTATGGTGGAAGTGGAAGATGTCGACACCACCGAAAAGAGACCATTTCCCTGGAGGACGGTGGTCTGAGACTCCATTGATGAGGCGCGTGGAAGCTCTTCTCGATGAAGAAGAACCCGGCGATGAAGAAACTGAGAGCGGAAAAATGGAAGGTGTGATTGTGGATAGGGAACCCGGCGATGAGGAGCCTATAGTTACTTTTATGGCGGAATCATTTTGGCTCAAGCGTAAACCAGAAGAAGATCGTGGGGCGAAATCAGAAAATGATGCGTTGAGTTATTTGCTTGATGATGGGAATCAACGGTCCTCAATGAGTGATGGGGTTACTGTGGTTGAAGAGGCCCAACGTGCTATTAATGTAGCACATGTTGAATCTGAAATTATTAAAATTGGCATAGGTGTTGTAAAACTAATGGGACGTTATAGTGATACAGATACTGATCAGTATGATGACTTGTGTGATGATCATACGTGTAAGAATGGATGTGGAAGTATATCGGAGGATGAGGTCGACGGAGAAAAATTCAAGACTATCTATCTTCCACCAATGAAGGAACCACCGGATAAAAAAAAAATTTGAAGAAAGGAGTGCAACATGGAAGCAGTGCAGCAGCGCGAAAAAAAATCAACCGGTGGAAAATTCAAAAAAGAAGAATTAAAATTTAAGGGGGAGTTTTGTTGGGTTAAATTTTAATGAGATAAAAATAGAAAATAGAAAATAGAAATGTGAAGAGTTCTCTGGTGAAGAGTCATGTCTTTAGGTTTGTGTTAGTGGACATTAATGAGTTTGAAGTTATGTCAGTTAGAATATTAATGATTCAGTTATGTCAGTTAGAATATTAATGAGTCAGTTATGTCAGTTATAAAGTAATGAGGGTGTTATGTGTGGAGTTATATTTGTCAGTTTTATAGCTTATAAATAGCCTTTGATAGTTTGTATGAAATGTAGATCAAGAGATCAAGAGAAAAAGAGAAAGAGCAAGAAAGCAAGAATAGAAAAGAAAAGTTTTTTGTAGATACACAAGTCTGCTTGTCTCTTACATCTGTGTGTGGATATTCAATTCTAACAGAGAAGCCGTATTAGATATGTAATATAAAACTATTTGTGTACCTTCATCTAACAGCTTAAGCTTTTGGAATGGTTGATTCATGACAACATGTGCTAAATGTGGAGAAATAAGATCATTGCCTTCACACACAAAAAAAAAGATTACCTTAATTAAATTCAAAATTATTATAGGATTCCCATATCTTTTGACAAGATTTTCAAAGTGAAGTCTGGTGGCTTGATAATTCGGATCCTTCCTTGACACTGGGGAAGAGCAATTGATTACATAAGCAAAAATATAGACACCAACACATCAAAGTAGAGATAGTATGAGAAAAATAACTCCGCGTGTTACAATATTTGTGAAAAAGAAAGACATACGTATGATATCTGGTTTAATATTTAGACGTGAAGTTTCCTGTGACCAGAAAAGCGGGATTGAACCACGGTTCTGGATGATAGAGCTTATTTGGATGGGAAGACCTTCTGGAACATCCTCAAAAACTATTTGTTCTGTCTCAACATCATTAGCTACTCTCCCCTTCTCATTAACACCTCGCCTCAAATATCTACACATAAAAATAAAATAAATGAAGCTGTAAATTGTTCACATCATCATTGCACACGTATCCATACTTTCTGATTATAAACATTTCCCACCAAAACCATCCTTCAAATTTTCAAGATTGTATTGCCTGGACTCAGCTTCTCTCTCTCTCTTATATATATATATATATATATATATATATATATATATATATATATATATATATATTCATTACAAAGCTATAAAATCTTGCATAATGATTGCTCTCAAGTTTTCACTCCTGATCAACTTGGTTAAGCTAACATTCTATATACTAACAAGCTTACGTTTATTCTATCTCTTCTCTTTTCTATCAACACAAATGGAAAACAGGGACACATACCATCATCAGAACATGAAAGATAGATTATTCTATGCGCCATTCCCTATTATATAATCTACATTCATACTGCAAAGTTATAGTGACAATTCAAAACAACTAGAAAATACCAAAAATGACCGGAGTATAACTTTATTAGTATCCCGTCCTCAGCACAAGGATAAAATCATCAGAGAAGGCACTTAATACTCTAGCTGACTAGCTAAGTTTGCACATGACATAGTCAAATTATAAATCCGATGTATAACCAACTGGAGCATACACAGCACATAATCACATTCAAAAATGACTCAATGCATGTAATGTGTTTGGAAAGAAAACATGATGAAATTTACAGACCTAGTGCCAGCATAATGACGTGATCGTCTCGCAATGAGCGTAAGTATAAACTCCCGTCCAGATATCATAAGTGTGTCCTAACAAAGCCACCAGATAGACATCAGATATTCAAGTGTATGATGACAAAACTACTTCAACTGAGCAGAAATTACTAGTAAATTGTAAATAAGCCAGATGCTTCACGAGATTAATCAATCAAAGAATACATTATCCAATGGAATTTCAATAGACATTTATCTTCACCTGTTTAAAAAAGCCATACACTAATGCAACTGTCCAAATATTATTCTGGAGGTGATTCCTAATTCCTCGAGTTAAGAACTCATTCCAGACAAACATGGTCTCATAAAGGGTATGGCCTGTCTCATTATCACACAAGTTCCTTTGAAGACTACGCATAATGTGGTATGAGTAGCTGAAAAAGAAGTCCTTTGTAAGGTCAACCGTGCATAGGAGTTTCTTGTACCTAAACAATCAATGAAAAAATAATTTAATTAATGCAAAATCTGATAATGTATAGAACAATAAAATTTGACATATCCAAGATACTGTCTTTAAATCTAAAGATGGCATTAAGATTAGGAACCACCTAGCACTTCTAAATTATACCATAAACAAAGTCTAATCAAAATCAAGTTATCCTCAACAAATTTGTGTACTTGTTAAACATGTAATTTTTATATTTGAGTCAAACAGAAGGGATGAAATCAAAATAATTTTAACACGAGATTTCCACTAATTTTTATATTAACTATAAAGATTTATGACCAGAGGAGAATGCAAATAATTTAAAATTAGGATAAAAGGTGAGAAACTAGAAGATCGTTAGAAATCCATTCAAATAAGATCAAAACTGAAGTGATTTTTTTTGTCTCAAACAGTTAAAGGAAACAGGGGAAAGAGATCAGCATTCAAAATGAAAATAAACAAATAAATGTATTTGTATGAAGTACAATTTATACAACATGCAAGATTGTTAAGACCTGTTTTCATTTTTTGAATTGATGATGTTGGTCCAAACTGACGTATTTGGCAATGGAATCATCTCACTCCTTGAGACAGCATATACTGTATGGCCACAGATTGCACCAATTTTCCTTCTTTTCGTGATAAGCAGCATGTAGTAAGGCCCCAAAAATTTGATGAACCCTAAAAGAAGAATAACTTATCAAGATAACAACTGATAATTTGTCAACAGGAAACTGGACAAGACACTATGAATTTACATACCAACAATTCCATAACAAGTTGTAACAAATTTCAGTCCACCTGTGGACTTGTTTCCCTCATGTATCCGCCTCAAAAGATCAGAACATTCACTTTCTGTATATGTGGCGGGGTCTTCACGCAAGTTTAGCTCAGAAGGATCTAGACGGACAATAGTTAGTACTCTCCAATATGTCCTGCTCTTGTTCCTTCCTATCATGTAAAAGTTCTGTGGAATAAAACATAAAAATAAATGCACAAGATAACAATATTTTAAATAAAAGAAATGCATGATAAACACTGCAACTCCAACAAAGCGTCCAATCTTGTAACTCAAAATTTCTCAAATGGGGGACCCCAAGTTTAATATACATATTAGTTTAGACAGGGATGATAATTCATTCAGCCAAGCAACTAAAGCATGAACAGGTGCTGGTGGAGAAGACTCGCTTTCAAAGTTAAGATATATGACAAATCCCACTTTAAGGTAAAATAAAAACTAGGAAGCTCCCACATGGATGCTCCAATGCAGAGACATAAAAATTTCATTCTGATGCAATTCAGAAACGCAAAATCCACATAAAAGAAGATAAGAGTTAGAACTTAATCAAAACATGAAATGAGGCAACAAAGTTTAGTTCTTCCTACTTTGCCAAACTGATTCTTGTAGATGTATTATAAAACAACGAATACAAGGAAGTTCAAAACATATATCGCAGTCTATCTATCATGCAAGAAATCCAATGCATTGGATGACTAGCTGGTTTCATGTTTCTTCTAAAAATTCCAACACAGCAATATCAAAATAAGAGCTAGCTTTGAGATGATGAATGGTGTATAACTAGGATAATAAATGCACTAAAACATGTTATCACTATATGAATATGAACAAGAAACAAGTGCACAGTTTAGACCTGCATTAGATATTAAAAACTATTGACATATATATTTCTACAACACAGAACGAGCTAATTACATGACAAAATCAAAGAGATCTCCCTATAACATTAGTAGAGAGCAATTGCACAACAGTGGAAGAAAGAAGAAAAAAGGCATTACCGATTGAGTCTCATATAGCCTAAATTTCTGAATACAGACATGGGAAGGAGGAGGGGTATCGTCAGAGGCAGAAGAAGAGTGAAAAGGTTCATTCTCTGACGACGCCATGACTTTGTTAGTGATATTCAGATCCCCCGAGCCTCAGGCTCAGGGAAATTACCAAATTTTCATTCAAGGAGTGCCAAATTACCAACATTCAGAATCCTCACAATGCAAAAAGCTCACAACCCAAAAATGCAAACTCATTTCCTGAACTATAGGCTGCTTCAAATACAGCATTATCTCTCAAAATTGATTCAAAATTATTTATCTTTCTTCATAATTTCAGCTCCACCACCTTCTCCAACAAGAAACCCACCACCCTCTGTTGCTGCTATACCTATATGCTATAACCAAAAACGACCAACTAATCCTCACTCAAGCTTCGATATATATATACATATATATATATTATATAGATCGAAAATTTGCCACCCCAGAAGCTAAAATTGCAAATTTTTATGTGCTAATGATATTGGTACACTTGCATACAGAGAAACACAACATGTGGGTATTTTCAAAATGGAATCTTTACATGGAAGGGACAATATACGAGGAGAAGATCAAGCAGAGAAACTCGGTGAGAATTGAAAAGGCGAGAGATTTTGGAGGTTCCAGCACAAAAAGGGTCCAAACCACGGGTGCACTAATAATTGATTTAATTTTTTTAATATTTAACTTTTTTTAAAAAAATCTGATTTCTTTCCCAATGGAGAAGAATAAAACTCAGATCCGAAGAACAAATAAAAACCACAATATCAAATCCAAAAAATAAATTCAATTTGCTGAGTAATCCTCTGTCCACACATTTGGAAAATTTTAAAAAAAAAAATCATATATCTGAAATAGCAATGTGAAAATCATTACTGATTACAAACTGCGTATTGCAAACGTAATTAATAATAATATAGTTAATATTAATTTTGTTATTTAATTTAACTACCGACATAAATGAGTACTAACGTGTCATCTGTTCCATCATCTGTTCCATGACGGAAGGATAAAATAAATTTATAACTTTTAAGTCTTTAATTATCCTAAGACGGCAGTATTATAATAATATTGTAAATGTCTAGCGGCTTAGTAGTTTATAACTTGACCTGCCTTTATCTTGTTTTGCTTTTATTCTAATTTATCTTCACCTATTTTAAAATTAATACATGTTTAAGTTTATTAAAAAACTGGTTTAGAAATCAGGTTATAAATCTATTTTAGTAGGTCAGGCCCCTAAATTTCTGACTTATATTTTAATAAATAATATTTTATTTTATTTCTAATAACATAATATCTTATTCTTTTCAAAAAATAATATTCTTGTTATTTTTCAAAAGGAACGTTATTTTTTCAATCTCTTTTCGCTTATAATATTTTACAACTTATTTTTACCGTTGATTTTCATCAATTCAAATATTATAATTTATTATGTCATATTTATTAATTAATTATTAATTTCAATACATATTGGATTGCGGAAATCAACGGTAAAAAAATAGGTTATAAAATATTGTAAAATTTTTAGATTGTAAGAATAATGCTTCTTATTTTTCAATATAATAATATGTTGTTAATTTTTAATAAAATAAGATCTTATGCTTTTTTATTTTTATAAATTTTTTGCAATATTTTCACTTCTCATTTGGTACAATTTTTCTTTAAAAATCTTATAGGTGCGTGCGTGCGTGTATAAACTTTTAATTTATTTAAAATTAAGTTAAAATTTAATTTTATAATTAAAAATTAATATAGTTTTATTCAATTAATTATTTTTTATTTTCAACAATGTAGTTAAAATGTCAATATTTTTTGGATTATATAGTTATAGTACAAAGTAATTATAATTTATAATTTATAAAGTTTAATAGGCTATGTCAAGCTTTGTATTCTTTAAAAATAAATTAGGACAAACTTATAATTTGACTTGTATCAGATTTAAAATAAGTTATGTAAGTCTAATCCATTTAGGATAAAGTCTTATTTAACCTGATTCATTTACACTCCTGATCCAGACATCAATTGTAGCAGGTGTTTTTGTTTTCCGTGTTGTTTGAGAAATTAAATTTTTTATTGCAAAATCCACTTGTTGTTTACTCTATTTCTGTTTTCTTTTTTTTTACCAGACAATCTAATCTTTTCAATCAATGAAACAGTTTTTAATTAACCCCAAGGGTAGCTCAGTTGGCAGCTGAGCTTCTAAGGGATTGCTTGGTGCAGGAATCAAACCCTGCCTCAAGCAGTTTCTTGGAAAATCTTTGAGGGCCAGAGGATAAGCCAAAAAATCTTCGGTTGGGGGATTAGTCTCGTCCTTTCTCCGGTTGCGAAGCTTAGTGCACCCACTGTTACAATGAGGGGCTAGCCCAAACGGGCCGTACCCCGAGGGCATGGTGCCCGGAGAAGGTTGAATGGGGATACCTCCTGGCAATGTACCAAAAAAAAAAACAGTTTTTAATTTGAAACTCAATATTATCTTCTTTTTCATTTTATAAATAAATTCCATTGATGAAATAATATTATTTTGTACTTTGTTAGTTTTTTATAGGACTTACTAAATTATATAGCATAAAAAATTAATAACTTTTAAAATACTATTTAGTACTTTATAAAAAATTTAACAAGTGTGTGACCGTTAACATCAAATTATTAACTGAATCATTCCTTTCACAATATTCAGATTGTTCTATTAACAATTAATGAATTTTTTTAATGAGGAAGTCAAGTCATATCAAACTTCTTATCATGTAAAAATGGGAGATAGTTTTCTAGGAGTAGGTTATATTTACAAACTTTTTTGTTTACAAACTCTTACAAATTACACTATATAGGATCGGTCATACATTAATCACACAGTGTACGACCGGTCCCACATTAGTGTGATTGCAAAAAAAAATTATAAACGGATCCTATCTCTACAAAATACATACCATATTGCATAAGTAAATCAAAAGGCCAGCTATTCGGAGCATACTCCTCCAATTCATTAATTAATTAATTAACTAATTTGATAAAATTAATATGATTTTGATACATTACTAGGTAATTTCATACTGTTTGAGCATGGGATTAATTTCACCATACAACTAATGACATTAACTTGATTGTGAGATATTTTTTATATGAAATTTAAATCCCTTCTTGTATTTTCTGAATGTGTTTGATTGTTTTTTTTTTTTTTTTTTTTTTAAAACTGTTTTGTAGAATAGTTTTTAAGAATTGATTTTCAGAATAAAAAAAGGAAAAAATCTATTTGATAAATTTGTTTTGGAAACAATTTTAAAAGTTAAAGAATAAAAAATCTGCTTGATAAATTTATTCTTAGAACATGTTTTTAGAACAAAAAAATAAAAAATTCGTTTGATTGCTATTTTTTTAAAATAATTTCTATTATTATATCTAAAAACTTATATGTATTTTTAAGATAAAAATTACAAATCTTTTCTAAGACCGATGCAAACCATAATAAACATTTTAAGTTCGATATATTCCACAAGATTACTATATAAATTACTATCAGTCAATGTATTATAATTGTAACGAACCAAAGTTAATCTAATCAAAGTCCAATATATTTAATAAGCAACACATACAAACATAAGTTAGGGTTGAGTGCACTAATAATAAGCCCATACAAATATTGAGTCACTTGAAAATTGATTATCCAAAAGTAAAACCTATATTATTTAACAAATCAAAAATAAACTACACGGCAGAATTGTTACGTTGTGCCCACATCCAATTTGCAATATGATCACGATATACTGTCATTTCTGCTGCACCTTCATCAGATAACCTAGACAAGTTATCATCATTCAAGCTTGTTTCCTCAAGGTTAGAAGTCTCATTCATAGCCTCTATTTCTGTAGGATCCATGTCTTCCCACATTCTAAACAAATCATCGCGTAAATTCCACCTGCGTATATAATTATGAATAACACAACATGCTATCACTATGAGTCGCTGCCTAGAAGGTTTATATGGAGGCATTAGCTTCAAAATAGGAAATATGTTCTTCAAGACTCCAAAGCATCGTTCAATTGTCATTCTTAAAGATGAATGCCTATAATTGAATAACTCTTCACGACTCCCTGGTTGTCTACCGCGACCAGTATATTCTTGTGCATGATACCTCTCGCCTCTAAAAGGGGGAAGAAAACCTCTGGTGCAAGGATAGCCAGAATCCACAAGATAAAACATACCTGCATTAGTTTTGAATATAAATTATTTACTTCATTTACAGAAGACAAATTCAACAATATGATATTCACCTCTAGATGGCCATGGAAATTGTGCATTTGGATTGGTTAGTGAATCAACGAAAACTTTTGCATCGTGTGCACTTCCTTCCCATCCCGAATACACATATGTGAAATACATATTAAAATCACAAATACACATGACATTTTAGCTTTCAGGTATGTCTTAATACCATTAATCCAATTCATGTTTTCCTGATATCCATTCTCCATTTTTTTATCTTGTTTACATTCCATATGGGAACAACTTGACAGATTAAAAAACTCATTTAACACATTTCATATAGTAAATTCTAACGGGAGCAAAATTAAATGAAGAAAACACTTATGAGCATTCTTTTCTATGTGGTCCATTGATTGATGTTTTTACCATCCAGGGAATAATAGATGTTTTCTTGGGATTTGAATGATCCACGAACAAATAGAAATAAAATAAAATGACGAGAGTGAACCTGCTGTATAGCGAACAAGTGATGGATAAGGAAGAGATGGGAAATGTTGGTAAGATTGGGGTGTTCAATGAAGTTAATTAGTGTTGCATGCAAGTGAATGAAAGGCTTTTCAAACCATTTACTACTTATTTATTGTGATCAAGCCGATTTGGGCTGATCAAGCTCGCATTCTCAGCAAGCCTTTCCTCAAGCTAGCTCAAGGGGTGGAAGTGCCCAAGGCCTTATAAATGCTATATTAGTTGTCCATCCAATCAATGTGAGACTATATATCTCAACACGCCCCTCACGCAAGAGCCCTTTAGGCTAGAAGCGTGGAAATTGCACAGGCCCATTTTCGGTTTACCTTTTTTGTGTTTTTTTATTTATTTTAATTCCACTTTTTAAAGCGGGGGACGGTCTGATACCATGTTAAGAACCTTGAGGTCACCACCCCAAAAGCTAGCTCAAGGGGTGGGAGTGCCCAAGGCCTTATAAAAGCTATATTAATTGCCCATTCAATCAACATGGGACTATATATCTCAACAAAAGCCGCAAGCTATATTTCCTCAGAATTGGGAATGGCAGCATAAGCTTCTTGGAGGATAGCACGAGCTGTAGGCACATCTCCAGCAAGCCACTTCTCTTTGGCACCCATAAGCCAGAGAACTTCAGCCTTGGTCTGTAGGTAACTGCTTTACGAAGTAATGCATCAAGAGATTCCCTGGTTCCATGACTCTTTTCAAGTTGTGCTGCTTTAAGCCATATGCTCTTCTTTGTTAAGAAGACAGTCAAAGCATGAGCATATATAGCTCTGGCCGTCTCAATAGAACCTTTCTTCTTGCATTCCTCTGCATCAGCAACCCATGTCCTCTTCCTATCTTCTTCTTCAACTCCAATTCCAATTCCAATTGTATTATGGATAATTGCTTGGCAAGTTACAATTGAC